TTCAAGTGCAACGACACCCCTCTGTTCCTTGGCCCTCCAGGCTGGCCTGTGGCTGGTAGAAGGGCCAAGGTGTGTAGGCCAAGGTTTCCAGCGGGGGAGGATGGGCGGCGGGGGCCCAGTCTGCAGGTATAGAGCTGGGTTGAGCCAATGGGAGGCTCTGCAGGAGACAAAGGTGGGAGCAGCAGCAGGAGAACCCGCCGGCCCTTCTTGCTCTCCGCCTTGGAAGGTTCCACCAGCAGCAGGTTCTGTCTCTTCTGTGGCTCTGGCCCCGGCAGGCTCACCTCTGCCCAGGCTCCCACCAGGGGACTCTGGTCCTCAGACTCCAGGAACAGGACTCCCCCCTCTGACCCCGTGGGACTAGCTTCCTGCCACTCCCCCCGAGGTTGTCCCCTGGAAGTCAGGGGGCCCAGTGCTCCAGGGCCCTTGGCTAGAGGGCAGCCTTTCAAGGTGCTGAGAAGAAGGGCCCTGGCGAGCCACACAGTCAAATGGTCAAACGTTTTTGCAACATTTGCAAAAGGGAAACATTCTCACTGCAGTCAGGTAAGATCACTACTTCTGCTCTGTGCTCCCCCACCCCCGGACCAGGTGCCACCAGGAGTGTGGCTGGCACCTGGGTGTCCCACTAAGGAGCAGTTGAATGGGAAAGGGACTCTACTGGGTGACATTTATGTCGTTCACGGTCACCTCCATGCAGTTATGTGACTGCTGGCCACCCCAGTGTAGAAGTCCAGGAGTAACAATCCGTCCGTCCACCCACTGTTCCAAATCTGTCTACTGCGCAGACTCAGAAGGGGTCAGACATGAACTTGTCTGAAAAAAACAAGGGGACGTGGTGGTGGGGGGAGCAAAGTTGGAAATAGGTGGAGCCAGAAGCTACGCCGCAGGAAACTGTTCCAGTCGCCAGACACAAAGTTGTAAACAGAGAATCCAACTCTCTTCAATGTCGACCCAAAACACAAAGTATCTCTGGTCAGAAAGAAAGGCAACAAGGGGTCACGTGCAGTTACATTCACCCCGGGCTTTTCTACACCCAGGTCGATGGGAATCACACAGTTTATTGGGATTCTCGTGCCCGTGGGGCAGACAGCGCCACATCCCACAGACCCCGTCGGAAGTCACACTTTTTCATGCACCCCAACTACCAAAAATAGAAAATAAATTCTGATCGACCAGAAAGATGAATTAACTTTCTGTTGTCTCGAAAGAAAATGATCTTAGAAAGTCACAGGATGAAGAAGTGATCAAAGAGTCTGCAGCCAAAAGTGCAGGGGAAGAGTAACTTTGCAGATAGAAGAGGCAGTTAATTATTTAAAAGACAGTGTTATTTTTCTGGATTGTGTGATGCTTGTGATATTGGGCTCCTGTTTAAAATGGGTCATTTGGCCCTGGCCGGTGTGGCTCAGTGGGCTGAGCGTCGTCCCACAAACCGAAAGGTCTCAGGTTCAATTTCCTGTCTGGGAACGTGCCTGGGTTGTGGGTTCAGTTCCTGGACAGGACGTGTATGAAAGGCAACCAATCGACGTTTCTCTCCCTCCCATCTCCTCTCCCCAAAATCAATAAGCATGTCCTTGGGTGAGGGTTTTCTAAAAAGTATCATTTGCTGTTACGCCTTTTCTCATTCAGAACAAGCAATCACGCTCACACCTTTACAGAGTCGCGTGAGCGCCCTCTCCGGCTCTGCCCCCTGGCCTCCGTGTTCCAGGGTCTGGCTTCTCTCCTCCCGTCAGCTGCACAACACATTCCCCCCACTCAGGTCCTGAGTTCTGAACCCTCCAGTGGGGTTTCCTGAGTGGACCCAATGCACACTCCACGAATAAACCCGCCCGTGAGAAGGATGAGCAGCCCCACAGGAAGGGCCGTGGGCGCGCGGGCCTGCGGGTGGCAGGGAGGACGGTGAGCCGGGGACAGGAGGACAGGCTGCACCCGTCTTGGACGGCCCCTGGTCACCGAGGTTGACGAGATGCGTCACCTGACCTTTAGGTGGCTGTCCTATTACAGCACAGACACGTACCACAGAGAGGGGCGGGGGCCAGGGACTGGGAGTGGAGAGGCCCTGGGAGGCTGACGGGGAAGATGGCGAAAGAAAGCAGCCGGCGACCACGGTGGGTGCGGGTGCAGACAGGCGGCGCTGCTGATGGGCCTGTGGGGCCCACAGGTTCCAGAGGAACCAACCGGGCAGCAGAACCCGTGATCGCCAGCAGAGGTGGCCGGACCCTGGGGCAACCAGGGGATTCATGCTGGCCCAAGGAAGCAGAGACACCTCCTAAGGGACACCTCTTAGGGGCCAGCGAAGAGACGGAGGGAAGGAGAGGCGGGCAGAGAGGAACTGAAAGCTGTGGGCAGCGGGGCTGATGTCTTCAACGGCCGGGACGCCCTGGGACAGCTCCACGGTGATGAGCGGCGGGACAACCGCAAACGACATGTTCTGTTCATCAAACCGATTCCGAAAATGCCGTAGCAGGCGCTTGTCTGGGTTTGGGGGCAGCTCCGGGACGCTGGGAAAGGGAGTCACTGTGAGCACCATTCCATTAAATTGGTTACCTGGGAACAGGACCAGTGACCAACCAGCCGGTGCCCCACCGTGGACAGCACGGCTGTCGTCACAGCAGCCTCCACTCGGAGTCACGGGGCCACGGCACCAAGGAAGAGGGCCAAGGTCAAGCAGGCCAGTCAAGAGCACTGGTAAGAGGTCAGTTAAGTAAATTAAGGAACAGCCACTCTGAGGGGCCATTCAAGTTGTAATTCTGGAATCCACGCAGGAGATCCGGTTTCCAGCAAAAAGAGCAGAATGAAAAATGATTTCCAGAGGGAACCGCAACTCTGAATGGATGTCACAGACCTTCGTGCGCAGACAGGGGCTGGGGGTGCCCAGAAGCCGCCTAAGAACCGTGGGGCCGGAGGGTTTCTCCCTTAATCTCCTGCTCACGCTGCTGGGCTGTGAGCAACCAACGAGATGGACAACAAAAATAAAGCAAACGGGGTGGGGGAGGCACAAAGTGTGTTTTAGGAAGCTTTCCTTAAAACAACAAACAAAGTAAAGCAAAGGTCTGGCTGCTCAAGTGTCCACCCCCCGCTACTGGGTTGGCACAGCATCCGGGGTGACTCACTCCCCCAGGTGGAGGGTTCGCCACCCCTTGGGCCCCCAACTCGGGGGGCAGCCCGGCGCCAACAGTGAGAAGGAACCCGCCACCTCCAAGTCTCCAGCCCATGGCCCCACCACTGCCAACGGGTGCCCTTGGCAATGATTGGTGCCCTGAGCACCAGTGGGTGCCCTCTGCCACCTGGTGTCCCCACAGTGTCTGCACTGGGTCATCTCTACACAACGACCCCAGTCCTACCCCTCGACACACACGTGTGGTGCTGTGGCCACAGAACCGTCCCCCAAGTCCCTCCGAGTTGACCAGCCCGACTGGGAGACAACGGTGTTTGGATTTAACCCACTTCCCTGCGGCTCGAGTTACAGGAGAGCTACTTCCCTACTGGGAGTTGGGAGCTGGGATCTGATCCTGGAGGAAACGGGGGCCCAGTCCATGGGGAGGCCACAAGGGCCCCGGATGCGGGTCGGATGCGCCCGACAGACAAGCCCAGAGCGGGCCGGCCAGCTCGCCCCCGCCCAGCCCTTCCCGGTAACCCCACTCGTCACGAGCCATCTGGAACCTGGGCAGACACTCACAGCTGCTAGCACTTCAGCTGCTGCCCCAACATGCCCGGCCTGGCCAGGACAAGTGGCCCAGGCGCAGCTGCATGGCCGGCCCCCCGGCTCCCAGGTGCAGCCTTGGGGTGGGGTCCAGAGGGTCCCAGGCACAGCCTGGGCCTCCCTGCACACCTCTTAGGCTGTCCGGGAGGAGCAAGGCCTCTCTGGGAGGCAGGAAGAGAGCAATGCCGCCCGCCCCGCCCCCACCATCCATCATGGGGAAAGAACGGCTCCACAGGGAGAGTGAGACAGAGGCCTTTCTGGCCCTTGTCCCCCCACCCAGAGCTCCCAGGGGCCCTTGGGAAGCTGGGCCCACACAGGCAGGTTGGAGCGGCCATTCAGCCCTCCTCTTCCCCAGTGCAAAGGGCTGCTGGAGGCCTCAGGCCAGCGTCCCTCGGCGGATGACCGGGGACTTGCATTCCTGCCACAAAGGCAGGCAGCCTGGGCTGCCTGCAATCCATCGGCTTACTCTGCCTGCTGCTGCCCCTTTTCCTGTCCCGGACGCTCCCAGCAGTCACTCTTCGGAGAACCAGGTCAGATGAGGCCCAGAACAAAGCTCGGTTGTTGCGTAGCTTCCAAGAGGCCACCGACGGCCGGACGCCCGGGAGCTGCCCCTGTGCCGGCAGCAGCTCGATGCCCCCTTCACCCCGACTGCAAATAGACCCGGGCCCTGGGCGGGACCAGAGATAAGGCAGAGAGAAGCGGGGCTGGGAACAGAGCCATGCTCAGCCCTGCAGGCCCAAGGCCGCACCGTCCTCCTGTGCTGTGCTGAGAGCAGCCAGGTACGGGAAGGGGACCGCGGCCCAGGCAGCCCCCAGTTCCGCAGGGCTGCTGCAGCAAAGTCTGTGGGCCCCACGGTCCCAGGCCTGACTCTGGTACCCCCCACTCCCCAGGGCCCCGTGCCCAGCAGGACAGACTTCAATCTGTGCTTGGCAGCCAAGGTCGCTCCAGCAGACCCAGTCCCAGCGGGGTGAGGGCTGTGACCTGGTGTACTCTGTGGTGGTCCCCAGAGGGCTTCGCCTCACCACTTGTACCCACAGATGCCTCATAAACCCCCTGGCAACGCCTAGACCGCGGGCGTTCCAAGGCCATCGCTCCGACAAGCAGAGGCAGGGGAACCCAGCCTGTCGCCGTCTTCCCCGCCCAAATGCTCACACTCCTCAAGGCCCAGGGCCTCTCTCCGCAGCCCTCCCCTCCCCCAAGGCCACTGGCCGGACCCACCCAGGAACTGGCGCTCCTCAGGCCCCAGGCTGGGGCCTGCGTGCTGCGTGCTGAACCTTCTCTATCAGGTACATCTTAAGCAAACTGCAGGGCCCATGCAACGCTGCCCATGGGCAAACAGCAGGAAACAAAGTCCAGCCCCGGGGTCCCACCCGAGGGCACCTGGCAGCCCAAGGAGACAGTCGATGGGAGAAGGGAAGTGCCTCTTCCTGCTACTGGGGTCCTTGGTCCTCAGGTGAGATGTCCCCCGACTTGCACCTGGACGTGGACTCCAGATCACTGCTCCTGAATGGCCACCCCGTGTCCCCGCTGTGCCAGTCCTGGCTTGCACACACTGGGGGTTCTGGGAAGAATGTGGGCCGCCTCAAACTCAGGTACACGGTAAGGGGCTGGTACCCGGCTCTTGGACCCCCCCTGGGCAGGCTGGGGAGAGGCTGGCGGGCAGGTGGCTGTGGTCTGGGGTGAGCAGGGAGGCCTGAGAGGGCCTGGGGAGAGGACAGGCTCCAGGCCCCGGGCTCGGCCAGCTCTCCCAGAATTGGAGGGGGGCAGCTCAGGTGCATGACCCAGGGCACGAGTCCAACAGAGCCCAGACTGGCTGCACAAGGTGGCTCTCCCTCCACTCAGGTCCCCTGCATAAGCCAGAGCAAGCTTGGACATGAGAGGACAAGAGGCAGTGAGAAGGAACGTGGGTGGGAGTGGGGGGGGCAAAGAAGAGGAAGAAGCCCTGCCTTTGCACCCCAGCGGAGCCGGCTCACTGGGGAAGTTCCTCTTCCTTCCCAGAAGTCAGGTCCTGAAGTGCTGGTGGGGGAGGTGGGTGAGCAGGGGCATCACTGTCCCCTGGGTGCAGCCTCTGGCCCTGCCCGGGCCCCTGGGGAGGACACCCCAGCACAGAGCCCTGTGACCTTCGGTAGGCCAGGCACCCTCTGGGAATCTCCTGAAAGCCACGAAAGATCTCAGGATAGTTCTCATGTGCACACAGACACCCACCCCCGCTCCCATTTCTGCAGCTCTCCAGCCCCAGTTAAGGGTCCCCTGAGCCACTAGGGATTCCCAGGGGAGTCAGGGACACGGAAGGGCAGGCTTTGGGTGACCCAGTGAGGAGAGGCCCCAAACTGAGAAAGAGGGAGAACCAGAGGGGCGGGGCCTGCGGCCTGCTCCCGCCCCTAAGAGCCAACCACACTCCTGGCCCCCACACAGGCTGGGGTGCGGGAAGGGCGCCAGCAGCTCCCGGGCATCCTGGCAAAAGGGGCAGCACGGGACCTCCACCCCCTTCCGGCCGCTGCTGAGGGCGAGGGCACAGTGGCTGCCGGGTTACAGAGCAGGCCCTTCTCGGCAGCCTTCTGTGTACAGCCCCTCTCGTCTCCACAACCAGCCGGCACCGTCCCTGAGCCAAACGCCTCGCCCCACAGCCAGGAGGTGCGCACCCAAAACCAAACCCTGGCAGCCCCTATGACCTGCTGACTGCCACTACCGGCTCTTCCCGGTGAGAGCGACAGGGGGGGTGATCCAGGAAAGGCCTGCCCTGGCCTCCCGTGCCCACCCGGGCCTTTGCTCTGCCCCCACCTGGAAAGGTCCTTTTTATTCTCCCCCCTACTCAAAACACCTCATTCCTCAAGGCCCAGGCCAACCTCACCTCCCCCCAAACTGCCCACCTGGCCCATGCCCCTGCTGCCCCCTACAGTGCCCCTGCTGCTGGGCGGAAGGGGTGTGAAGGAGCCGCCGCCTCGTGGGTGTTCCCTGCGAGCAAGGACCACGCTGTGGCACTGGCTGCATGTGGCCGATACAGTGTGTGTTCGGTGAGTGTGTACAGACTCAAGGCACTGGGTATCCCCCCACCCCACAAGGACATTTTTTAAGTGTCCCTCTCTGCAGAGACGCATGAGTGCTCAAACCAGCTCAGTGAGGACCTCATAATTACGCAACTCATTTCCGAGCCCGTAACTAGGTCCGGAAGCAGTGATCCCACCCGCCCAGGGGAAAAGCAAAAGCCCTCCGGGTCGTCCTCAGGTTCCGAGCGCAGGGTTGTAATGCTGTTCGCTGCCTTCCTTCATTTCAGGGCACTGACGCTCCGCAGGGGCCAGTCTGCCTTCTGCAAAGCATCCCTCCTAGGACGGGGGCACCGGCAGAACCGGAGCGCACTCGGAAGGAGGCCAAGAGGCCCTCCAGCCCAACCCCACACTGTAGCGGTGGGACCCAGCATTCCTCGGCCCTCTGCCAGGAGGGGGACAAACTGGAAGTGGTCCAAGCCCTCGTTGCTCTCATCCCCCAGGGCCTCGCCCTTTCGGAAAACACAGGAGCTGGTGCGTACTCAGCCCTTAAACTCCACTTCCACCCACTGCAGAAAGCCTTGAGGTTTTTTTCACCTGGGGGAGGGAGTAGGCACAGAGGAGAGGAGACATGGAGCCTATTCCAGAGGCCCTCTGGCATCTCCAAGTTCCCCCCAGGGAAGGGTCAAGGACCTACAACCTTCGGGTGCAAACCGCCATTGCAGGGTCGTGGCCACACTGGCAGCGATGCCTACAACCATCTCAAGTATTTGGAGCTGGGGAGGGAGGGAGGCCAAGCACCAAACCCCAGCCTGGGCCACCTGGAAGCCCCGTCCCTCCTCCTGTCCCCCCAGCGCCACCCCAGCTAGAGCCGAGCTCAGGGGTCTGAAGGGCCGTGCTGTTCCCAGCAAGGGGTGAAGTCGAAATTCGAAGCTGCTGACCCAGAAAGGTATTTTCAAAGTTCTGAGCAGCCCTCTCTGAGACCAGTTACTCCTTATCACTCCTTTGGGCTCAAGAATGTGGAAAGCAGGAGATGGGACATGGCCCAAAGGCAGGAGGAAGGACCTGACGTCCTCTGAAACTCCAGCTAAGTCCCACAACTCTGTCCTCTCACCAATAAGAACTAACTCGTGGGTCCCTGGCAGGAAACTTACTGTCCACACAGATGAAGGAGAGCAACTCCAAGTTTGCAGCATGGGCAGAAAAGGAGATGCCGTTTACTGTTCAGTGACTGAGAGGACAAAGGACCCTGGGTCCGCAGAGGAGAACTACAGACCTTCAAGGCAGTGGCCTCGGTTTGCCCGTCTGTGAAATGGGGCATCAGCGTACCCAAGAGGAGAGACTTAGGAAGGACCCCGAGCGCATCCTGAGAGCGGGTCAGGCCTCTTCCACCTGTGTGAGGTCGAACCTTCGCCAGCCTACAAGGATGGCGTCTTGGGACCCACAAGATGAAGGAGTTGCGGAGCCTGGGGTTGCAGGATAGTCGCCTTTGGCGAACTCCCAGTGTTCCATCCGGTACAGGAGTAAGTTCGCCCTAATTAAGGGCGCTGCGGCCCACGCCTCCAGGCTGCAGGCTGAACCCAAGACAATCTTCCACTCAGCCGCCCTCTACATAGATAGACAGACACACAGACAGACAGACACACACACACACACACACACACGGGGACCCGAAGTACCGCGACCCGCGGCGCCTGGACAGTCAGCGATTCCAGCGAGAGTGCAGGGGCCGGGGGGGGGGGCGGGCACAGGGGCAGCCCCCACAGCGACCCCCACCTCGGCCCCACTGAGCGAGCAGGGCTGACCGAAAGCAGCGGGGGACCCTCGGCCAAGACCAGAAGCGGGGTCGGCCGTGGAGGGGTCAAAGAGGGCTCGGGTGCCCGCACTTCCCCCGCACTGGAGCCAAGGGGAGCGCTAGGTCCGTCGGGGGGTGCAGTGCTTGGGGGGCGCTCGAACTCCCTGGGATGGACGCTGCGTCAGCGGGCCGGGCGCGAAAGCCTCACGCGCTGGGAGCTCCGGGTCCCGCTGGGCTCCCCGGGCGCCCCGACTGCCGCGACCGCCGCGGCGCAGGTACGACGGGCTGGTCCGGGCACACCGCCCCCTGCCCGTCCCGGACGCGGCGCCCACCTGAGTACTTCCTCATGGTGCCTCCGTGGCCGCTGCTCCCCGGAAAGTGTGCGGCGAGGCCGCAGGGCGCGCGCTCCCAGGTCGCTAATCCCCGGCGGCAGTGGGAGGGCCGGGCACGCGGGGGCGGAGCGTCCTGGCCCCGCCCCCGACCTGACCTGGTCCCGCCCCCGACCCGGCCCGGCCCCGCCCCGCGGAGGTGCGCGGGGAGCCCCGTGCGCTGGGCTGCGCTGCGCTGCACCTGGCGGACCCGCGGGCGGGCGCGGCCCGAGAGGGGGCGCGTTTCCGGGCGACCAGCACTGCGCTCGCCCCGGCTCAGCCCGGCTCGTCCCCGCGGTCCCTGCGCTGCAGCCGGACGCAGGTGATACGAACGTGGGGGTGTGGCCGGGTGCCCAGCGCGCCAGCCGCCACGCCCCTCCCCCAGGTGCCAATGGTCGGTTCCAGAGCGTCGCTGCCGCTTTCCTTTTGGGAGCCGGGGCAGGGCGGGGCCCGCCAGGTGCCAACGGGAGGAGGAGCGAGCGCAAGAAACAGCCGCCGGGCTAGGCAGTGGCTCAGCGGGCACAGCCCGGGGGGTCGCAGCCGGGCGCCGGCTTAGCGGCCGGGCGGGACGGGGCAGGACGGGGCAGGCGAGGCACCCTGCCTGCCCCGCCGCCTTTCCGGTAATCAAAAGCGCAGACTGCATCGACTCCTCTGGTGAACTCACCTGGAAAATGGGTGCGTGGGACCAGGAGGTAATTTCCGTTCCACCTGAGAAGCACGGCGCGCGGACCAGGCCTCCGCACAGAGGAGCAGAACACGGCGACCCGCGTCTTCCGGACGCGGTGACACGGCCGCGGTGGGAGTGCGAATTCCCAGGCAAAACTTGTGCAGAATGATTCTACTCTTCTGTCCTTACAGAAAGTTTTCATAGTAAATGGGGTTTTTATGCACAGATACGAAGTGATGAATCTTGTCTAGAGGGTAGAGTCAGAGTTTTATTGGGGTGATGCCAAAGCGCGGTCTTAAAGAATGAGGGGGGATTTGCCCGGTAGCTACGGTGACCGGAGGCCGAGAGGCGTGGCGCCGCCTCGCAGCTGCGAAGTGTCTCGGAGCGTGCCATGGGGTACACACGGCCTGGTGGCGCTTCCAGGTTCGCCAGCCACGGTCCCCAGATGAGGACGGGTGGGAAGGTGACTCAGGAAGCCACGTAAACTCTCAGAAGGAGCACAACACCGCCTGCCCTGCCCGCCATTCCAAATAGCACCCAGGACACAGAAAGGATTGCCAGCTCCAAAACCGCTGCCCTTTCCCCTCTCCTTCACGTCCCCTGCCGCAGCCCCGCAGAGGGGGCAGCCCACCCACGACCTTCTCCAACCCCTGGCCAGAGCTGACTGGACCAGAGTGGACGCAGACCGCACCTGGGGCACCTCCAACCCTTCATCTGGGGATCAGAGGCTGAGGGAAGGAAGGGGCTGACGGAGGAAAGCACCCGCCGGCCTGGGGAACTGGGAGAGTTGTGAACAGCTGGACTTGGAGTCTGGGCTGTCCGCCCCGCCCCCAGGCTCACGCCCCGCCCCCCTGCACCCCTCCCCCCCAATTGCCTCTTGTTGCAGCCCATGCAAATGCTGCTCTGGCCAAGCCAGAAGCTTAGCTGTGTTCCAAATCTGCCCAGGAGCATGAGGACACGTCCCCGACACCGAGGCCTGGGCAGCTGCCTCTCGAGAATCCGTGTAATGGGCACATCGTCGGCGTCGGTCCCGGTCCTCAGCTCCTGTTGGAGGTGCCCGGGTGCCGGTGCGTCCTTCCAGGAAGCTGGCCCTGCAAGCAAGGGGAACCTCTGCGCTCCGCGTGTTGGGTCTGCCCCCTCAGTGCCTCGGGGCTCACACTTCCGCCTGGGGGCTCGTCGTTCGCACGGACCTGGGCACCCAGGAACGCCTGCGTCTCACAGTCTTCGAAATGGGAGAGAAGCACAGGCAGGGGTGGGGTGGGGACAAGGCATCCAGGCCGGTGCATGTTCAGGAGGCACGGAGGTAATTGTTTAAGCACAGTGTTTAACTTTCCCTGGACTCCCTGAAATACTCGTGTATGATGTAAGCTCATGTATGATGTGATCACCCCTTCGCGAACAGTGCACCCACTCTCTCACCGCTGACCGTCGTGGGAAATGGCTCCTTCCGTGGGTATCGGCGCGTCCACTGCTGTGTTGCTCCTTCACTCACTGCCCTGTTTTGAAAACCGCGCAACACCCAGCTCCCTCCCTCACCGTGCGATTTGCAGCACGTCACGCGAGTTCTCCGAGTCTCAGCTCCCACTCCTGCACGCGGGCATCACTGTAACACCTCAGGCGGCTCCCGAGGCGGGCGCGGTGGCCGGGGACTCCGGGTCAGAGAAGTGCCTGAGCACGGTGCCGCCACCGAGCCCCAGAGAGGTGGCGCCGGCTCAGGAGGCGGCGCTGGGCAGGCGCCTGGCGGCCTTGCAGGGCTGGTGAGGGTTCGAACAAAAGTGCCGAGGACACTGTGGGAGGAGAGGGGGACCTTCATTCTGCGGGGCATCGCCTGCTGCAGCAGGGAAAATGGACGGGGTCCACCTGGGGAACTGGAGGATCCGGCAAAGGGCTTTCCTGGGCGGAATGCTGAAGGCGGGGCCTGGCTCTGCCTGTTGGGGACGCGCCCAAGGAGCCCGGGGAGCTCAGGGCAGGATTCCCGCCTTCAAGCAGAACCAGGAGGAATCGGGGATGGCAGCCAAGGACTCTCGGAATAGAGTTTGTCGGAAGGAAGACCACCTGGGACCGTGAGTCTGTACCACAACCTCGGAGAAACAACAGCAAAGGTGCCTCCTCAGGCACAGCCGTCCTGGGGTTCCGGGCTCCAGGCTCCGGCAGAGAAGGGCTGGTCCCGGGCAGCCAGAAGAGGCTCCCTACTGTGTGACAGTGGCTCTGTGACATCCTGGAAGGGCTGTCCTCGAAAGAGCACCCAGCCTCAGAAGAAGTCTGGTAAGAGTTTATTTGAGCCAAATGGAAACCGCAGGGAAGCAAAACCGAAACAAGCTGAGCCAGTGCTCGGGAGACGGGCAGTTGTGCGGCTTATTTTACAGGTGGAACCAGAGGAGGGGACGGACGCACGGGGGTTACGTGAAATCCAACGGGGGAGGGAGATCAAGGGGGTGAGAGAAAGCAAAGTGGGGAAACCTCTGGGACTGGACACGGAGTAAAACATGGAGACACTCGCTTCCTCTACATTGGCGAGGGCGGAGAGGTAGCAGTGACCGCTCACGGAGCACAGAGGTGGCATGTGGGCCACAAGGTAATGTCGTGACCCCGGCTCCGGGTCTGGCTCCGGCTCCCGCTCCAGCTCTGGCGCTCAGGCTGTGCCTCCCAGGCATCTGGGAACAAGGATGACGCTGACATTTCCAAGGTATTCAGTCTTAGACGCACAGAGATGATAGATAACTTCAAAGGTAAAGGGTGACCTTTGTCAAGGAAGCCACAGCCCCAGGACGTGACTCCCTGCCGTGACCTGCTCTTGGTTAGGGGCTCTTCCCTTCAGACCACTCCAGTGGGTTCCTTTGGCCTCCCCGGAGCTTGTTGGCCTTAGCATGTGGCCCCAAAAAGCAAAATGTGGAGACAGAAATCTGAGACGTGGGGAGGGATGGACAGGGGAGCACAGGACTTTAAGGCCGTGAAGCTGCCCAGTGTGACACCGTGGTGGTGAACACGTGTCATTAGACATCTGTCACCTAGAACTAGACCACAGCACGTGGACCCAGATGTGAACTGCGGGCTGCAGCCAGTGATCCCAGGTGAATTCGGCTCATCCACGGTGACAGAGGGGCCACACAGTCACTAGACCAGGAACTCCGGCCGGACTACATATGCGGACTCTGTACTCACGGCTTAGTTTTTCAATAAACCTAAAACTGCTCCAAAAGTGGCCTTTTTTTTTTTTTTTTTAAAGTCTGGTGGGTAAGGTTTTCATCTCCTGGACGGATTTTAAAGGCACAGGCAGCCCCCAAATTTTCACAGGACTCAGGTTCTTGGACTAAATGGGGTTAGGACAGAACGAAATGAACAGGCTTCTGGACTCCAGCCTTTGGGGGAAGGAGACAGGCTGAGACAGCTCTTCGGCCGTGAACTCGGTCTTCTCAGGAGACAGGAGGTGTGACTTGGCAGGCAGCGCCACGGGGTGGGAGGGCCCCCAGGAGTTTAGCCAGCCCCAGACTTGGTCCCCATGACTAGGTCCTGCCCCCCAAGGATGAGCCCCAAAGCCTGAGGGACGGCCCTGGAGGGTTCCTGGGACCAAGGAGCATGGTTTGCAGGTGGGAGGGATGTGAACTGTGGCCCGTGGCGGGGGTGGCACTGGGTTTGAACATGTTTCCCCACAATGGCCACAATGTAACCTTAGCATTCCTCCTGTGTCCCCGCTCTTTGGATCTGAGGGGGCTCATGGGGTGGTAATCCTTGAACTTGGAGCCTTGAGACACTAAGAGTCCGACCACCCTGAGACCTGCTTGTCGTGGGGAGTGTGTTAATTAGCTACTGCTGCGTAACA